TTCATGGTAGTGGAATGAAACGTTGATTGTAACATGTAATATTTGTACCATGTTAACGTTATCTTATTTCCTTCTTCACTTCATAGGCTTCTGCGAGCATGAGTTTAGAACCGGGAAGATAACATCAGGTCATCAGAACTTCAAGTCTTCAGAGTCTTCAGAACTGCGTCTTTAGAGTCTTCAGCACTTGGTTGTGGAAACCTTTTCTTGAAACCTTGGGTCTTTATATCTTCAAGTCTTTAGAATATTTAAAACTTCAGTCTTTAGAGTCTTCAGCACTTGGTCTTTAGACCCCTTATCTTTAGAACCTTGTTATTGGAAACACAAGTCTTCAACATCTGGACGTAAGTAGAAACTTGATATCTTATAACTTTATTTCTTTATCAACATGTTGTCTTTAGAAGCTTGAGTTTTTAACATCTAGACGTAAGTAGAAACTTCTGTCTTCAGATCTTCTAACTGGTTTCTTTAGACAAATACCAGAGCTTACACTTTAGAGCCTTCTGGAGTGTCTTGCTATTGTTCAACAGAACTTATGTAGCATAGAAGTGGAATTAATTCTCTTCTAATGTCTTGGCCACACCATCCATCAGAAGTAGAACCTGTTTGTTTAAGTACTCAATAATAAAAAATATTAGAGTATCAAAATTGTTCATATAAACATACTCGTTTGTTATCATCAAAACTTAGAGATAATATTGCAGAACCAAATCTTGTTCTTACAATTATCTCTTTTCTGTGGCCATTCTCTATGTGGGGAATTAACATGATTAGCATGATTGAACCTAACGCTTCAAACAAACATTATTTCATTCTGGTAGCTATTTATTACTTCACCAAATGGGTCGAAGCGGCATCGTACACCAATGTGACCAAATAAGTGGTGGTATTATTTATTAAGAATCAAATCATATACTGATACGGTATTCCAAGTAAGATAACTACTGACAATGGTTCAAACCTGAACAACAATATGATGAGAGAACTCTGTGAAAGCTTCAAGATTGAACATCACAATTCTTCACCTTACAGACCCAGTATGAACGAGGTTGGTGAAGCAACAAAGAAGGATATCAATAAAATCCTATAGAAGATGGTTGTAACCTACAAGGACTTGCATGATATGCTCCCTTTTGCAATGCATGGATACCAGACGTCCATCCACACCACAATAGGGGAAAACCCTTTCTCCTTAGTTTATAGCATGGAAGAAATAGTTCCTATAGAAGTTGGGATCCCATCAATGTGAGTCTTTATGGAAGCCAAGTTGACATAAGTTGAATGGTGTTAGAAAAAATATGACAAATATCTAATTGAAGAGAAGAGAATGACAACCTTATTTCATGGTCAGTTGTAACAAAAGAGGTTGAAGAAAGCATTTGATAAAAAGGTTCATCCTCATGAATAGAGAAGGTGACCTCCTGCTCAAAAAGATCTTGACCGCCCAAAATGATTGAGGCAAGTGGACTCCCAATTATGAAGGTCCATATGTTGTCAAGAAATCCTTCTCTAGATGTGAATTGGTTCTTACAACTATGGATGGTGAGGAGCTCCCGCGTATGATGAACACCGATGTATTCAAGAAATACTTTACCTAAATAATCAAAAGAACAGATCGCTAAGTTGAAAACCCAGAAGGGAAACTTAGGAAAAAATGAGCGTCTCGGTGGACTGAAAACCCGAAAGGACGGTCCAGGAAAAAATTAGAGACATAAATTGAAATAATTCATCCCGGTAGATTGAAAACCAGAAAGGGTAATCTAGGAAAATTTTATGGATTTTATGGCAAGTAACTGCATAAAGCTAGGCTTGATCACTTGAAACAGCAACATTAGAGAGAATAATGGTCATTGTATTTCAATGTAGCCTTTCCATTTACCATTTTCCAAATGTTGTAATGATCCATGGGGTTAACCCTTTTGTAGACTACCATTCTATCAATAAAATCTTGATATTTTGCCAATTAATTTCAATTCTTATACATTTGTTTCTTTTGCAAAATGCCATTTATTTTTTATGATAATTTTTGAAACAAAGATTTTATAATAAACATGTTTTTAAAAATTATAAAATGTTTTCTTTTATTTTTGAGTAAACTAAGAGGAATGTCTGCAGTTGTTCAAAATTGATCAAGTCTTGAAGTGAGGAACTCAGATTCCCCGGTATAGTGATTCATGGGAATTATCCTGTGAATATTCTTGATTCGTTAATCATGTTTTCTCCTACGGATTTTTGGGTCAGCCAGTTTATGTTAGACGACAACAACTTATCTAGAGGGGGATGGGGATGAATAGATCCCAAATTAAAGATTGAGTTTAAAAATTATTTTCAAAACAAGTAAAAATAATGGCTAGCGGAAGTTGTGTCCTCGAATGCAAGTCGTCCAAAACGAACCGATTATTGGAGCTCAGGAATGTGTTCAATCAATTCTAAATGAGAAATAATGATAAGTAAGTAAAACAACAAATTCTCTATCAATGGTTTTATTACAACAATCAAGTAACCAATTTCAAATGAAATTAAAGGTAAAGCTTATTGAGACAATTTGTCGAACACTTAGTGTGCACTTTGATTTTCTAGAATTTCCTTTGAACTTTGTTGGTATTAAAATCTCTTACAATCAAATGAAATGTAAGATTATAAACAAGGCAATTAAAAAAATTAGAGGATCATTCTATCTAATCAATTTGCGTAATCAAACATTTAATAAATTGCTAATGAAAATATAAAAGAGATAGAGATAGATAGATAGAGAGAGCGAGAGAGAGAGAGAGAGAGAGAGAGAGAGAGAGAGAGAGAGAGAGAGAGAGAGAACGGCATGAGGATTTCTTAAGGAAGTTCACCAATCATCCTCTCTATAGCTACGTCTGCCCCCAATTCCATTTTGGAATTGTGATCAATTTCTTACTATTTCAAAAGATTCATTTACAAGAGAAATGTTGCAATTCGATCCTACAAAACCTATGGTCGATGACGATACAACAAAATTCTCTTTGCTTTATGCTGGAGCGGTTGAGCGACAAGTAAAAAGTAAGTTATTAATTTATCCGGTGATATAAGTTATATCGTATCGTGTCCACAGAGATTGGTTATTGAATCGTCGTTCGATGAATCTCTTGTTAATGAGTTTGGGGATAAATGGCTTGAAAAGAAAAGTATCAACAGAAAATAAATGTAAGCAAAAGAAAAAAACTAAGGAAGAACTTATCAAGCCTGCATATAATCTACTCATCACAAACTTAAATCTACCAACCAGTTACATTTAACCTAACAATACTCATCAATGTCACTACATATCACTCACAACCTAAGTCATTTCTAACCCAAATTGAGAGACTGACTGTCTCACCAAGGAAATGATCTCTCTACCTCCTCAACAACACAAAAGACAACTATGTAATCGCACAGATGATCTCTCAGCACAACACAACTATCATACCTCAATTTTGACCTAAGATCCCATCTTCATTTGCATTTTTATTCAAAAAAATCAAGGTCACGAAATACGGTCGTTTTTAACCTCTCACCTTTGAGAATTTCCTATGCAGAGATTGTCAAGTGTTTTGAAATTTTTTAGCCTATGTATCACTAACTTCTAATCGCATACACAGGTGTATGTTCGTGTTTTCTTTTGTTTCATGTGCAGAGACATTCCTGAATCAAGAGCATCAGGCGTTGTGCCTCAATTATGGTTTTGAGTCTCCCAAGCAAGAAGTATGATTGATTGTGGATTCTCAAATACTAGTTCAGCAAGGCACAACCTCTAATCTTAGAGCATAGAGTCTCAAGCATCATTCAATCGCATTTTGATCAAAGATGTCTTAGGGAACTTCAGACGATCGTGTGTTTATTTCCATGCCTTATTCGACAAGTGGTCTTAAGCTTCTCCACAACTTCCTCAATGCACATACAAGATTTCATCATCACTGGTTCACATGTGCATCAATGCGTCTTGGAATACAAGAAAAGATCAGGCTATGTGAGACGATTCAAAGCACTTGGACCAAAAGTCAACTCTTGCAAGTTCAAGTTCAAACGACCATAATTTCTTTATTATCCGTACTTTTGAGTGGTTCTTTTTGCATATGACTCACCTTGACGTCATCTCCCACTTCTCTTTATAAGTCAAGAGTTGATTGTGTGTGGAGGATCATCGAAAATTTGAATACTTCAGAGGTTATTTTGCAAATTTGACCTAATCACAAGAAACTCTTGTCCAATTTTCAAGGGTCATAACTTCTTCAATTATCAACGTCCTGAGGCGATTATTTTTGTGAAGTATCACAAATATTGTTGTCTATGAGATTACTTCAAATATCGAGGTCAAATTGTGCTTGGTTAAATTTATGCCACATACGTTTTTCTCAAAGGACGTTTGATTCTTATGTTGGGATAATTCATGAAACTAGAGTTCTAGTTCAATGATTCATTGATTGCTTATCACCTTCTTTAAGCCATTTGCAATTGAACATTAGAGATCGTTGGATTAAGGTGGATTGTTGATTAAATCTCTTAAAGGCACGATTTGTGTTATTGGCTCGTATTGCATGTTACTACGAATTGAAGATATGGGTTTTAAAGAAGAAGATTTGAAGATCAATTTGAATAATTCTTTTTGATTTCAAATTGATTCAAGTGTGAGAGGCACAATTCATTCATATGAATTTGCTTTTGGATTCAAGATATACAAAACAATTAATTTCTCATGATGCAAGTTTGCTCAATTTTGAAGATCAATCCATGTAATTTGTTTGGAATTCTAGGAGCAAATACGAGATGTCCATTCCTCATTCAAAATTCATTCAAGATGAAATAGTTACAATTTCACCTAGCCATTACAAGTTGAAATGATACAATAAAAGATACAGTTACAAAGTTCTCAAGGCTGATTTTTTTGAATCCAAACATAAACCTTTTCAAGAATCATTTAATTCAAACATTACAAGGTGCATCATAAGTTTGTACATGATTTCGTAAGTCTAAAAATCATTCAGTAGTCTTCATGCTAAGCCAAACCAACCAGCCCTGCACCCTGCTACTGTCTTGCTGCAAAATTTGCCCACAAACTTGCCAAAAAACCTGCTGCAAAATCTGCCCACAAACTTGCCAAAAACCTGCTGCAAAATCTGCACCAAAACTGTCCAAAATCTGCACTCCAAAAATCTGCTATGCCACTGCTGCCCTGTATTAAAACCTTGTCATCCATCATGTTACATGAGTCCAAAAGCGTAGCCAATACACTAAATCAGAAACACACAAAATTAAAGAAAAAAGCTATGAAGACAGTTAACTAATTTGGTTCAAATGCACCAACTTTTCCCCCCAAATTTGATCATTTTTTCCCTATAAAAATAAGACATCATTCAACAGAAAAAATAACACAAAAACCAGTAAGTGACTGATATTGGGGGAAGAAAATTCCAGACAACAATTACTACAAAAAATTCCATCCACATACATCCATCGCTGAACCTTCATCACCATCATTGACCCATAGTTCTGTTTTCACCCGTACAACCACCTGTAACTCCCTGCTACCAACACATACCCTTCACGAACCTTTTCTGCCTTAACCAAAATTAACCTTCATCCTTCATCTTCACTTATCTCCAGTAACTCCTGTCAAACCTTCGTTCTGCTACCATACAACTCCCAGCGCTGAAACATAAACTCCCTCTGTCTGCTCACTCTCAAATTTCCTCTTCAACTCACGAACAACCACGCACTGCCTATTTCCGTAGAACTCACCATGTTCTGTGCACTGTGAACATCAACACTTCATACGCCCCACTTTACATCACTAAAACCGCATCACTCATAAACTCCCTCATAACCCTCACAAAATACCTCTCCATTGTTTACCCAATTGAATCTTCAACATACCATGTATATTTTCCAGAAACTGAAACACAAAACTTCTCGGTTCACAAACTTACGCAAAATGCAGACAGAGAAACAACACTCGACAATACAAAATATCACGTGATATTTTCATAAGCGTTAACACAACAACACACCGAAGCACAATGAATCAGCAAAAGAAGAATTTGATTAGAAGAGAAGAGGAACATACTCGAAGATATAAAGTAAGAGATTCAAGAACTTACTCGAAAATCCACCACTGAAGCTCACGTTTGGTAAGTCCGTCGATCTTGTTTGCATCATTCTTTTGGCCCATAATTCAATTTTGCTTGTTTCCATCGATTTTTCTTGTGATATGTAATGAAGACCGTGATTGAATCAGGATACAAGGTTCGATTGGGATTTCGGTTTTTTGTTCTTTGTTGCTACTTTCGTGTTAGCTATATCATGTTATCGTGTGAGAAAATATCGCACCGAGAAAGATGAAACCGTGAAATTAGAGAGTGAGAGAATCAGTTGAGGATGATCAAAATACAAAGGAAAAGAAACTTCATGCGATTGATTGAGAAAGAGCGTTCCTTTTTTATTAGGGTTTTGAATGGATCCTGATTGGTAATTTATGGAAAATCGAATGTAATAGATGAAATTTTTTGGGTTAGATAACAACATGAGGTGGAGGCTGATTATGGAACTAGGTTTTTTTTCTTTGTTTTTTTTGTTAGAATGCTTATCCTTTTGGCCAAATGGGCCTAAGCGAATCTGACCTGATACCATGTTCTCCTGAGCCCAGTTCGAATTTACACAACAACATCATCTAATTGATGTTTACACCATCCCTATGCTCATGTATCATTTTGAGCCTCTCTTCCCTCAAGCCCAACGCCCCATTCACATATGCAGCCTAGTTACGAATTCTGCTTTGGTTTACCCTCTAGTTGGCTGAAGGCATAATTTAGTTTCATTAATTAATTAGTTTAAATTTAGAATCATTGTAGTAATTTTGAAATTTTAATTTTAATGTAGTTAGTAAATTTTAAAATTTTAATTTAGCTAGATTTAAATTAGCAATTTTAGAACCTTTAATTAGTTTAGGTATATTTTCATAACTTTGGAAGTTTTAATTTGTTTAGACCTATTTCATAACTTTATAACTTCTAATTAGTTTAGATATATTCTGATAATTTTAGAATTTTAATTTAGATAGATTTAAATTAGCAATTTAGAACTTCTAATTAGTTTAGATATATTCTGATAATTTTAGAATTTTAATTTAGATAGATTTAAATTAGTAATTTAGAAGTTCTAATTAGTTTAAATATATTCTGTAATTTTAGAATTTTAATTTAGATAGATTTAAATTAGCAATTTAAAACTTCTAAGTAGTTTAGATATATTCTGATAATTTTAGAATTTTAATTTCGATAGATTTAAATTAGCAATTTAGAATCTCTAATTAGTTTAGATATATTATGATAACTTTAGAATTTTAATTTAGTCTTAGAATTTTATTCTTTAGTTTAGAATTAATTTAGTTTTGATTTGAATTAGTACTTTTAAAATTTCAATTTAGTTTAGATAACTTTCGTTTTATTTAGATATTTTTATTTCATGATACTTCTTTATCTCTGTATTTATTTTCTCATTGTCTATACTATCATTGTTCCCTTTATTAATCAAATTTATTTCTTTGTGTTGGCTAATTTTGTGATATTTTTGATTTAGCTCATTTTAATTTCTATAACTTACTCTATCATTTGTTTGCTTTAATCCAAGGGAAATGTCTTAATTTTGCTGACTTCATGTCATCAAATATATCTTATACGATTGTGCGAAATCCTTCATGCTTTTTTAGTTTTGTTAATCTTAAGTTAAAATTCTCCTAAAGACTCAATTTTAAAACTCACATCATTTAAGTCAAAACTTCGACACTAGATCGTCGTATCTTCAAAATCTCATTCACACCCCTTTTAACCAAACAAACAATTTTAACCAAGAAAAAATCAGATATTTCAAAAGCTTTCTGCGGAGTACCACAGATGCATTGGATGCTAGTACCTTCTCATTGTATAACCAACCCCCGAACCTTCCATCTCTTTCAAAAAACGCATTGTATTTTCATTACTTTTAAGTATTACTTTACATTACACATTTAAGGGTTTTATTTTGCTCTTTTCCCTTGGAAACAATAAAGCGCGGTGGTGACTCTTGCTTTTGCGAGTCGAGTTTACTAAATAGCTCGATCTCCGATTTTCACCACTACAACAACCACACAGAGGCATTAAACTTTGATACCCAAGTAGATGTCAGCTCTAAATATATCTCTAGAGTTCAGAAACTAACAGATAATCATCCTAGATAAGAATCTAAGCAGTATATGTATATAACAACTCAAATCCCTAGCACAGAGCAAAAATCTAAGACAACAATCAACAAAGAGTTGTAAAGAAAGTCTAATATAACCCATGGGCGACAAATATACATAAGTTCAAAATAAAATACATACAAAACCCAACAAAAGAGAAATACATAGAGAGGAGAAGAGATAAACCACAAATCTTCCAGTTTGTAAACGCCGGTCAATGAGAAATCCACCTCCAATCATCCATAAGCAAAACCCTAGTGTTGTTATCTAAGCTAATCCACTATAAAAATGAGGTTTATAAAGTTGAGAGAACAAAAACTCACCCCCAAAACCATAACTCTCTAAATGAAATGAAAAGAACTTATAAGGAAACAGTTGTTCCACGATCATCTCCCGACGATGATAACGAGAAATCGTATCGTATAATTGCTACATTTTTAGTCCATTTTCATACTACATTAATCCATTTAACTCCCGATTGTCCCGAGTTTTTTATGTCTTTTCACAGGTACAACATGTTTCAAGTCAATTTAGTGAAAAAGATCACATGAAGAAAGTTAACATGAAAAATAGAATAAAAGGGACAAATCTGCAAAGTTCTGCAGATTTTGATGTTGTGACGGTCGTCACACATCTATTACGACCGTAACGCGCTCACATCATGAAGAATGCTCGCCACACATCATTGACGAACGTAACGCGCTATTTAAGCGTCTTACGACCATCACCTTATCCTTACGATCGTCACGCACCTAAACTAACGTTATGAAGAACATGGAGACGTGGGCAACGTAAAGAAAGGAGTATTCACTCCTACAATCTCTCAACCTCACCAACGCCCAGTCCTAGTTTTTCTCCACTAAAGAAGTACAAGTCCACGTTTCTATTACTTCTTAACTGCCAATTTCTCCTCTATAAATAGGAGAGATTTCAATGAAGAAGGAGACAGTTTTATTTACAGAGAGTTTTATTTATAGAATTTCTTGCGGAAGCTCTGCCGAATTTTTACGAACCATCAGTTTTCATTTTTTTTACTGTTCTTGTTTTGTTTCCCTTTTTTACCATTTAATAGCCATTTCCAACATTAGGAAATTTCTATTTTAGTTAAAATTTGTTTTTAGCCTCAGACTTCGTTTCAAGTTTCGATTCCGAAGGTTCCAATCTTGCCGACTTGTGGAAGAGGGAGCTTGAGGAATAATATTATTATTCAGGTTTTTAATCGCATTTATTTTAATTTTAATACAATTTATTTATGTTAAATTACTTTTATTTATTTATCATGAATGTTTTACTGTTTCCCGATTATATTTCCTGTCTGTCTGTTTCAAGTACCATGACTAGCTAAATTTCTAGAGTCGTGATGTGATAATAGTAATTGGATGGATTAAATTGTTCCTAAGCTAAAATCCAAATTAACTTAATTTCTAGCTGTGACTTTTTATAATTAAAATCAATCTTTTTGTTACGAGAGTAAGAAAAGTAGAATAGGTTAGGATCAAGACCACGAGAGTGTGAGGTTTTAACCAGATAGCTAAAGTTATGCATTTGATTTAAATACAGCGAGAGCGCTTTAAAATGAATTAGATTTTATTAAGTTTTCAAAGAGTATTTTCTAAACACTTATGGGCTAGCGAGAGCAGGCATAGGGCTTTAGGGGTATAATCCGAGATAAGACCACGAAAGTGTGAGTTGAGGGTTTTTAAACTGATAATTTCTACAGGACCATTTAAGTTAAACATCTTTATATGCTTAGGTTTGATTAAATCCGCTTAGGTTCACTATGTTACATACCAACCGCTTTATCATTACTATTATTTCCTTAAGTTCGATTTAGTTTTCCTCTACTTTAACCTCTTAAAAAACCAAACGTGACAACATCTGCCTTATCTAAACTAGCAAACCTTTATAGCACTAGAGTGATTACAAAGTCCCTGTGGGTTTGACATCTTTGTATTACTACCGCGATAGGCTGTGCACTTGCAGTTAAGATACTGTTAGACACATTAGGTCGATCGCGACATCAAGTTTTTGGCGCCGTTGCTAGGGACTTTGATTTAGTCACTAGTGCACTCATAAAGTAGCAATGTATAGACTAAGGCAACTATTTATTTTTCCCTCTGTTGTATGCCAAATACTCGCTCTCGAAGTGAGCCTTTGCATCTATAAATCAACGATATCGAGCACTATCTCAGAGTAAGACACAAAATTCAAGAATACCGTGATCTTAACAATCTTCCTCCGACTAAGCTTCCTGATATCTTAATCCCTGAGTTAATTGAAGAATCAAAGATGGCTGACGTACCAAATCCACCTCATGCTCTTAAGGATTACGCAGTTCCTTCTCAAGCGGAACCTCACAACAGCATTGTCGCTCCTGCTATCGCTCGAAACGATTTCGAGCTGAAACCTTCGCTTCTATCCACCGTTCAGCAGAACCAATTTTCTGGATCTCCTACTGACGACCCAAACCTGCATCTGTCAGTGTTTATGCAGTACGCAGACACTAAAAGCGAATGGTGTAAACCCCAAGGCGATACGATTGCGCCTATTTCCTTTTTCTTTAAGAGACAGAGCTCGAGCATGGCTCCAATCTCTTCCTTCAAACTCAATCACCACATGGGATGAGTTGAAGAAGGTCTTTTTGGCTAGATATTTCCCACCAAGCAAAACTGCTATGCTCAGAGCCAACATCAATGGTTTCAGACAAAAAGATAACTAATCACTTTTCAAAGCGTGGGAACGCTATAAGGACATGATTAGACTCTGTCCTCATCATGGTTTAGAATAATGACTGATCATTCATACGTTCTATAATGGTCTCTTGTACAACACAAGAATGACTATAGACGCTGCTGCTGGTGGCGCATTGATGGATAAACCATATACCGAAGCGAATCAACTTATCGAAAGCATGGCTTAGAACCATTATCAATGGGGAAGCGAAAGAGCTAATATGGAAAAAAACCCAAACAAAAGGTGGCATGATTGAAGTGAATAGCCTGGATCAAGTCAACGCTAAAGTGGAAGCCCTTACCCAAAAGCTAGAAAATCTCACCACCGCTCCCGCAGCTACCGTAGCTGCAGTAGCTCAAGCTTGCGATCTATGTGGTCTTCAATCACATCCTGCTCCAGAATGCCCACTTCTAATAGGAGTTCCAACTGAACATGCGAATTACGTACATGGAAACCCTTATAGCAATACCTATAACTCTGGTTGGAAGAATCATCTGAATTTTTCGTATAAAAGCAACAATGCGCTGTACGCACCTGGACAAGCTCCTGCTATGCGACCTGGCTATCCAAAAGCTATCTCAAATCACCCCAATAATGGACCTAATACATCCAATGCCCCTAGGAAAAGTAATCTTGAAATCATGATAGAACATTTCATTGCTTCTCAATACCAGACTAA